ATGTGGCAAACAGCCGTAATAAGCCTGGCAGAAGGGCCGGGGTGTAGGTCAGTTGGTGGAGTGCTTGCCTAAACATGTAAAAAACTCTGGGTTCGATCCCCAGCACCACGTAAATTGGGCATGGTGGTGCACGCCTGAACCTCCACCACACAGGAGGCGGAGGCAGGAAGGTCAGACATTCATGGTTAACTTCAAGTACATATCAAGTACATATCAAGTACATATCAAGCAAGCGTGGGCTACAGAAGACATTGTATACAGGAGGAGGAAGAGACTGCAGCCATGACACATGGGAGGGGTGAAAGCAGAGCTGGGAGGGCCTCTGCAGTAACCCTTTTCCCTCCTCTTTCCCTCTTCATAGAAGAGAAAACTATGGTCAGAATGGAGAAGTGATGGGCCTGGAAGCCTTCTGACCCAGAAAACCACACCCGGGGGTTCGCATCCTTCAGGCTCTTTGGGTTGTGCCTGAGTGAGCAGAGCACTTGCCCTGCAAGAAATCTTGGTCCCCAGAACTGCATAAAACTGGGCACAGCGGGGCATGCTTATAATCCTAGCACTCAGGGAGTGGAGGCAGGAGGATCAGAAGTTCATGGTCAGCCATGGCTACAAAGCCAGTTCGAGGCCAGCCTCAGATACCTGAGACCCTGAGAGAAGGGAGGGGTGGGGGCGAGCTTTGTTCCTCTTCTGCACGTATCTGTCCTGTAGCCTTACCCCCGAGGGTTGAGGAGCCTGGTCCACAGACAACAGCTGGTGCTTGGATGCCTCTGTTTTTTTTTAGGTGATGATATGGACATGGGCATGCTCCATCACCTGTGGTCTGCATAGCTTAAGATAGATCCTTTTTTTTTCTGACTTTGGGTCCACCCCCATACTGTAGCGAAATCAAACCAAATGAGTCCCGAAATCCTTTTCATCTCTGACATTCAGGCAATTCTGGAGCCTCTGACCTTCCCCAGGGACAGTGCTGTCCATCACAGAACGGAGAAGCTGGACCTCTAGGAGATGAAAGTGCCAAACATCAAGACATCAAACAGGCGTATGCTGAGGCCGGAGTGAGGGTATTAATGTGATTAAAGCCGTACACAGACATACTTTGATTTTTCACCCACCTGCATCAGGCTGAGCATTATCTGAGCCCCCAAGAAAGTGCTTGGGAGTGGAAGAGCCTTGGAGCCAAGTCTGGGGATTCAGAAAGCTGTTTTCTGTGTCTTTGGATTCAAGACTTGATGGTGGAGGGGTTATCAGGTGGGCTTCTGTGCAGAAAGTAGCAAGTGTATGAATTCTATATCTGATCCCACAGAGGTGGGTCCCTGGGCACCCATTCCCACCACTTCTGCTAATGCCCCTCTTTGTTTGGGGCCCAAGCCTACTTCCTCTTCAAACCAAAGCTCAGCCCCAAAAAAGGACATACAGGATCTTTCTTGTACAGCCCTCACACCCTACTTCCCAGACCTCCTTGCTCTCAGGAAAACAGGCTGCAGGAATATGTCCTGGGACGGGAAACTGAGCACATTAAAGGGCCCCTCTCCTGTTTAGAAAGTTCTCCTCCTTATTATAGGTTGAGGTTTTCCATTAGCAGCCATTGATCCAGACCTCTTTCTGCAATGTGTAGAGACAGGGTAAGAAAAAACTCTTTCATTGTAAAGTTAAATATGCATGATCCCTGAGTACACAGCAGGGCCTGTGCGGCTGCCAATCTGCTCTGGCAGGGCTTGGAATCCTGGGATTGTTCTGTGGTGGCAGGGAGCTTAGTGATCATCGAGGTCAACCTCTTTGTTCAACTGAGGGAGGACTGAGGCCCATGGTCACACGGTATTCTGGGACTTGAGGCCCGGCTCTAGAATGCTGAGGACAGATGAGGCCAGTCCTCAGAGTTTATGCTGGGTCCCAGGCCCCACCCAGCCTCTTTTCACAAGGCTCTGAAATCAGAAAACCCAAATGTTGATCCCAGATCCTCTTACTCCCTATCTGTGGGACTCTGGGCCACTGATTTAGCCTCTTTGGGCACTTCCCCATCTATAAAATGGGAAGAATTTGTATCTACTCCTAGAGATGGCAAGATTTTGTTAACCTAGCAGATATGTAGGAACTTCCTGAATGCCAAGCACTGAGGACCAAAGAGAGAACTTCAAGGTTTCTTCAAGGCAGGAACATGGTTAAAACACTTATAATACCTAACTGTTTAGGACTTGGTTCTGCTCACGTTAGCTGAAGTGCCACAGAGGGACCTGGGAAGGTGCCACGCCCTTCTCCCATCTCCCTGCTTCCATAGTGAGTTGTCTATGGAAAAAGTCCCATTCCAGAGACCTACTGTTCGGGATCCAGAGCCATCTGGAAGAAATAGAAGGGCCTTTCCGGAATGTCTAGTGATTCTCTCTCTCTCTCTCTCTCTCTCTCTCTCTCTCTCTCTCTCTCTCTCTCTCTCTTCTATCTTCTCTCCACACCACAAGGCCTATCCAGAACAAAAGCCAGATTCCCTCTTACGGCCCGAGGGCATCCAGTCTCAGAGTCAGCCTGTGTACTGGATCTGGAGAAAGAGGTATTAGATACGAGTCCCTTCCATAGTCAAAGGTCTTTAGGGTTGCACATCATTTTTCTAGCCGGATGCTCACGCATAGGAAGTGGAGGGCGCATGCTCTGCTCTCAGCTGTGATCACAGGTCCCACCCGACAGGTTACAGAGATCAGGCACACACCTTGTATCTTGGTAAACCCGGTTCACAGAGAAGACAGAGGCTAAGAGAGGCAAAGTGCTGGCCGGGGCCACACACTGAGGCAACAACAGAATCAAAAGTCAACACCTGGCTACGCTTGGTAATGCACAGTTTTGATCCCAGAACTCTGGGAGGCAGAGGCAGGGGATTTCTGTAAGTTCAAGGCCAACCTGGTCTACAGAGTGAGTTCCAGGACAGCCAAACAAACACCTGGTTGTTGACCATAGGGCTCACAACCCCTAGGTATGGACAACCCCTAGGTATGGAGCAACCCAGGGACGCCCACAGGGTGCTCATGCAAGAATAGGCTCAGATTTGGATCCCCTGGGCTTCCTGCTGCCTCCCTACATCTGCTAGCAATTACACGTCCATCATCCCCCCTCCTCCCCCCCCCCCCCCCCCCCCCCCCCCCCCCCCCTCCCCCCCCCCCCCCCCCCCCCCCCGCCCCCCCCCCCCCCCCCCCCCCCCCCCCCCCCCCCCCCCCCCCCGCAGAGGAAAGAGGGCTGCTGATAACACTGCCATGCTGTGGTCTGAACTGCTTCCCAGACAGCCTCCCTCCTCACTCAGGACCAGAGATGGGGGATCTTGGAGCATCTAGGCCTGATGCTACAGCTTCTGTTGGGGATGATGGAGGCCGGGAGGAAGCACTGCAGGAGGAGTGAGACTGCCCAGATGATGCAATGCCAGGATGTACAGGGCACAGAGTTTGGTTTGCTTCCCCCTCAGCCTAAACACGAGCGCTGATGTGTGAGCCTGGAGTCACTTAGCTTTGGTTTCCTCGTCTTCCTCGTCTGCAAACAGGGATAACAACACTGACTCTGAAGCCTTGTTGCAAGGCATACGAAGTGGGTGTGCACCCGGCTTGCCTGTGACAGTGCCTCTGTGACGGTGTGACCCCTATGCTGGGGCTGCAGGGGCGCCTGCCTAAAGACAGGGGAGCCTGCCTGGAGACAGGGGAGGACTGATCACTTTAGAAAGACCTGTCAGAGGCGTTAGGGAATCCTGGCCACCATATTCTCACTTCCAACCCAGGGTCAGGCACTGAGGCTGCAAAGCAGCCAGAGCTGGTTCCAGACAGGCTGTGGTGGGCAAACAGTGAACAGCAGAGAGGCCAGGTGTCAGGGTGCTAGTAGGAAAGGCACGGCAAGCGCCTGAAGACTGGAGGAAGCAGGGAGGGCTCCCTGGAAGAGGTATGGTTGGAGGGACCAGGAGAAGGAAGTGATGAGGAAGAGCATTCCAAGCAAGAGGGATGGAGGGGCGGGCAAATGCCCACAGGCAGGGTGGTGCAAATTCCTTTCACAGATCCTGGAATCTAACCATCTGGAACCAAGAAACCAGGCTGGAACCAAGGGTCCCAGTTTGTCTGGGGCAGTGGGGTAGAGGAAGTTTAGAGTCACTTCAGCCCATGGGCTGAACTATGGTTCGGTGGTCATCACATCAAGGTAAAGGAAGAAACCATCCCTGCATCCCAGAGGACATTCAGAGTGCTGGGACATTCCTTCTGCAAGAGGAAGCTGCAGAGAGATCTGGGCAAAAGGGAATTGTGATGAGACTCAGTTCAGATTTTAGGATAGAGTAGAGGGGAAGGAGCAGAGTCCTCAGGGAGAGAGCGAACTGGGAAACAGACCTGGAATAGCAGGAAATGGGCCAGCCACCAGCCCCTTCACAGAGCAGCCCCCCAACCTGATAGCCCCGAACTAGATCCCACCCCAGCCACAGCACCACTAGGCCGGTTGGTAAACTTCCCTCCATCCAAAACTTTGGGACCCAGAATTTTCTCAGTGGCTAGGGTTTTGGAAGGACATCTTAGGAATCTGGAAAATTTGCAAATCTATTTAAAATCTCTAAAGTCGGCCTGGCAATTGACTGGCCTAAAGCCAGCCTAAGTCTTAGGCACAAGACTTGGTCCAAGGGACAGGGGCTAGGATCCTGAGGTCCCCACTTCTGCGAAAGCTATTAGCCACCTCTGGATCACCCTCCCCTGGCCCTGCTATCTCTCCCATCCTCCACAGTTTTTGCTGTGCCTTAGAGGTCCTGCTCAGTTGGCACCCAGGAAGCTCTGGGGATGTCCGAAGAGGTCTGGCAGGCAGGCAGCATTGAGGGAGCAGCAGGTAACCATGGGGGGGGGGGGAGAAGGGCAGCCCTGCTATCAAGGGGAGTTCCTGCCCTCCTCCCATCTGATTTTGTTACAATGTTTCCCTCCCCCCCCCCCTGCACAAAGAGGCACAGGCTGGGGTGGAGAGGAGACAAGAAGACATGGGATGGGTTTTCTGCTCCCTGAACTTACCAGGCTACAGATGGCTTCTGGTGTGGGCTATCACCCCCTCCAGGAAGTCCTCCTCACTGTCCTCTGTTATTTTGCTGGACCCAAAATGGACAGCAGTAGAAGGGCTGGCCTGATTGCGGCAAGCCCTGGGAGAGTCAAGGGAACGGCCAGGGTGCTCAGGGGCGAGTTGCAGCCCGGGCCCCTCCTCACTCCAAATGCATCCTTTGGGAGGAGCGGAACAGCCTGGAGGGGCCGCCCTGGGTCTCGCTGGCAGGCAGAAGGCTGACGACTGGTCTGGGCCCGGTCAGGCTCTGGCCTCCTCTCTGTTCTCCTCTTTCTCAAAGTTACTCCCAGAGCAAGCTTAAGTCTCAGATAGGGCAGCCGGGACTGTGACCACAGTCAGCCCCAGCGCTCACACCACTGTGGGCTTTACGTGCCTCCCCCCAACACCACACACTTTGGGGGAAAGGCTGCAGGGCCGATTCTGATTGGCCAAGCTGGGGGAAGGGGGGGGGGAGGTGGAGCAGGGAGGGTGGATGGCGTGTGTCTGTTTTCAATTTCAGGGTTTTTTTCCCCCTCTCTCTTTCTTTTCCCCCAAGTTTCTTGTTTTTCTTCCTCCTTTCTCTCTGCTCCCTCCCTCCTCCACCGGCTTGCTCAGGATGTGAGGGGATGTTTAGAAATTCCGCTGCCCACGCCAGCCACTGAGTCACTGTATTAGACTGGCCTGTTCTACTTGCCTGCTGCCTGTCAAAAGGAGTCTCCCTTCAGCACAGCACCTGGGGTGGGAGGGGGTGTGGTGTCCCTCTATGCCTTAGTTTCTCCATCTGTAAAGGAAGGGCTGATGAGCTGTGTAGCAAACTCAGCTGTGACTCAGTGAACAAGCCCACTGAACATTCGCCCTGTGTGAGGAACTGTACTATAGTACGAGACCACCTGAGTCAGAGAGACATTCCCAGACAAGCAGGGACCCCCTAGAGGAGTGGCCGACAACTCCATAGAGGAGACCTGAAGGAGGCTAGAGGCGATCAGACTTGGTCATAGGGCCTTCAAGACTGCTACCTCGGAGTCCTGACTTTTCACCTGGGGCTGGAGCTGTCTCCAGGCTGTCTTACACTTTGGGTCTGATTCCTGTCCATCTCTGCATACAGATGAGTCAATCACCAGAGGAGTGTCTGACTAAGCACTCGCCGCAAGATAAGAGCCACGAAGCCGCTGAGAGTGGTGGAGCATGCCTGTGACCCCAGACAGGCACACCAGAAGACCAGTCTTAACTATACAGGGAGACACTGTCAGAAAAAAACAGCATACTCTTAGATTCCAGAAACAGACAGTCTTACAGGCAGACCACCCCAAGCGTGATGGGATTCTCGCAAGCTGCTGCAACCTCCCAGGAGCCAGTGGGACCCTAGAGGACCAGCCCCACGAGCACGAGGAGCCGGAGCACCGGATGGTGGGAGACAGCCTGGTTTGTGCATCCCCTCCTCCTGGTCCCTGCTGTAGATTATTCCCCTCTATCTCTTGTTAGTTCCACAGACAGGGCTTAGGAGGACAGTGCCTATCTCCCTGGAGATACAAAGGCTTTCCTGGCTTCACTGCCACGTTTCTGACTGGACTCTCCAGGCGGCCCTGGCAGAGCCTGGTGTGTTAAGCTCTGGTGTCAAGTCTCTGGCCTGGGGCCCCTGAAACTCTCCCAAGAAGGATAACATCAGCCTTGTTTCCTCCAGAAGAAACAAAGGCCCAGAGGTGAACTGGCACAGGAGGGAACAAGACTTGCCCAGGTTCACCCAGCACATTGCTTCACGTGTTCATGCCTACCCCCTTTTAACACCTTAAAGTCCCTGAGGAAACAGGAAAGGTATTATTTGCCCTGTTTTAGGGCAAGGAAACCGAGTACAAGTTCAGTGAGCTTCTTGAGCTCCCACAGCAACAGCAAGGGTGGAACTAGGTTGTCTGGAACCACACTCACAGAGACAGGCACCCTGACCTGCCTTTCTCCTAGCATAAGGTACCACCTATGGTGTTCCTGTCCATCTCACTGCTCTTCCTCCCAGGAGCCCCTGGCTGCTTCTCTTCCACTCACCTCTCTAATTCCTGGTCTTTTGTTGTTGTTGTTGTTGTTGCTTTGTTTTTTTTTTTTTTCAAGAAAGGGATTCTATGTAGCTTTGGAGCCTATCCTGGAACTAGCTTTTGTAGATCAAACTGGCTTCGAACTCACAGAGATCTGCCTGCCTATGCCTCCCGAGTGCTGGGATTAAAGGTGTGCGCCACCACTGCCCGACTGATTCCCTGGTCTCAAACCCCTAGTCCTCAAAGATCCACTGGGTACTGTTTCAAAAGCACTTGGAGCCTTGAATAGAGCCACCTCTCCCCAGCCCTGGGGAAACTGAGTTCCAAGATGTGGAGAAGGGGTGTCCCAGGTCATGCACAACTAAGTTCTGTCCTCTTTTGACCTTATCTTCTGTGTCCCCATATCCCAACTTCCCCATCTCTTCTCCAGTCCCACCAAGGTCTGGAATCAGGGGCATCTGAGATCCCATTATTGAACTTGCCACCACCCTATCTCAATAGCAATTGCTCAACAGAGTACTGGGCGGGACTGTGTGGAAGAGGGGACTCTGACTGGCCCAGACCATGTAGGGCAATGAGTCTCTAGAAGGTGAGCCTGGCCCAGGGCTTGGCGTCCACACAGGGTCATGGGGGAGCATGGATGATGCCGAAGGCCACAGGGTCAAGCCTACACAGGAATTTCCTGTGCCAAAGACTCCACCAGAAATTGCCAACTCCCTGGGTTTGAGCCCCAAATCACAAAACAGAGAGAGGTGAAGAGAAGGGGGAAACTGTATCCTAGAATTTCACTTGGTTGTGCTCATCTGGACTCTCAGACCAATCGCAGGGACCAGAATAGCTTACAGGAAGCAAGGAGGGTCCACTCCTTAGTCCCAAAGGAAGTGAGGACACCTGGCCCTGGACTTTCAGTCACTGGATGGGTCCCTATCTTATCTGAGCCTCGGTTTCTCAGTTGGGGGTCACTGCTGCACAGGACTTTGGGATGTTCTTCTGCAGGCCCCCTTCATGGCCTGACATTGACTAGGGAGGGGAGGATGGCAGGCATTGGAACAGGGACAGCTGGGGGCCAAAGATGCAGCACAGAGTGGAGGAGTGGTGGCGGCGGCTCCCCAGGGGAAGCTGGGGGCTGCCATTTCCGGCCAGCCCAGCCTGTCCGCTGGCCCATCTGGAATCACTTAGCTCTACCACCATTAACCCTTGGTGGGCACAGGAGCTGTTTCTCCTCCCACTGATGGTGGTGGGGGTAGGAGATCCAGAACTACACAGAGTGCCACAGGGTCCTTCCGCAGGCCTGGATCATGAGGCTAAACTGTCACAGCTGAAGGTAGATTTGGCACCCAGAGACTAAAGTTGGGTCAGATTCCAGCCTCTCCGGTCCAGGCTGGAGGACCTGAATGAGCCTCAGTTTCCTGCTTTAGAACACGGGTAAGTCAGGGGCTGCCGAGATTGTCACTGTCCTCCAGAGCAGCATGGTGCCTGGAAGAGCGACAGGGCAAAGGTGGCTTCTCTCTTTGAGAGTACCCCATCACTAAGTGCCTCTGTATTTGCTGCTTCTTCACAGTTCTGTAGGGATTACGTAGTACCATCATGCTGGGGTACAAACATGGCCCTAGCCCCACTGTGGACAGAGCAAAGCATGCACATCCACTCCCTGCCCATACCCTAGGAGCTAGTTTGGCTACAGTCAAACAGTGAGGGTGATGGGGAGAATCAGAGGGGGCTCGAGGTTTTGGGGCACCACACTTCTCACCCCTACAGTCTGGCGGTATACTCAGGGGGTAAGGGCTGAGCTCTATGTTCAAAGTTCCAAACCAGCCCAGTAGCTTCTTAGCTGTATGACCCAGCCTAGGGACTTTAAAATAGGGATACAAGTGCATAGCTCGCATGCTAGGAGAGGCATACAGGACCCACAGAGTTTGTGGCAAGCCCGAGGCAGAATAGTTAAGAGTGCTACAAAGAATAACGGATTCTCAGGTATTCCCAGGAGGTGCTGTCACAGGAGTCCATGACCAGAGCTGGAGGGAGGCCTCTCCACACACTCATTTTACAGCTAAGGTAGGGGCCGTGGCAGAAGCGGCTCATGCCAGGCCACGCGATCCTGCAGTGTGGGTCCAGATGTGACTGCAGCGAAGGCTGGCTCTCAACGTTTACACTCACACTCTGCCTTGGAGAGGGCGTCCAGACTATGTGCAAACCCTCAACATCTCCCTCACCGTCAGAGCAGGAAGCAGCACTCCGTGGGGTGAGCCGAGGGGCCGGAAGGGGAGCCCCCGTGGGAGAAGTCCCAGCATTCACAAGGCAGGGCCAGCAGCTACCACAGCTGGCTCTCCCACGCTCCTGGAGCTGCCCTGAAAGCTCCCAGGGCAGGCATGGGGTGTGAGGAAGCAGCGCACGTCCCAGACCTTAACTCGACCATCTCAAGTGTCAGAAGGGCATGTTTAGCACGAGTCCATGGATGGGTCTGGAGGATGGAGGGTTTAGGCCTGAGTTACAGGAACCCCAGCATCCTTCCCTACTACATGCAGTGAGCAGATAGTAGATCCTCTACCCATAGCAGGAAAGCCAGAGACTTAGAGCAGAAATCACAGCATGGTGACTCTTTGAGCGGGTGAGGGGAACAGTGGGGACACAAGTCACCTTCCACAGAGACTCTTGGGGCTTTTCTGACTGGTCCAGGCTGTAGCGAGTGAAGCAGGCCAGGATGGCAGGAGATCTGGAGTTCAGGACATGTCCATTCACACTTACCCCAGACCCCTGATTCATACTCCCCCATGCCATCGCGGTGCCCCAGGACCAAAGGGCCCCATGGTGCATCCTCCTACCACACACAGAAGTCTTAAAGACAGTTGGTCAGTGGTGGCGCACGCCTTTAATCCCAGCTCTAGGGAGGCTGAGGTACGCAGATCTCTGTGAGTTCGAGGCCAGCCTGGTCTACAAAAGCTAGTTCCAGGACAGGCTCCAAAGCTACAGAGAAACCTTGTCTTGAAAAACCACACACACACACACACACACACACACACACAAAGTCTTAAAAACATAAAGCAGCAGGGCCCTCGAAGACCATATTGTTTCTCCCTCATGGGAACACTGGCTCTTAAGGTTCAGAAGGGGACAGAACCTGCTAGAAGGCACATAACAGGTCTTCTGTGGGGCCTCTCACGCCTACACTTAGACTGTCCTGTTTCTCCCATCATGCATTTGCATGAAGGAAGTTCACTGGGCACCTACTATGTGACCTGCCCCTCCATCCCTCAGAGCTCACCAGCAAACATCGAGGAAACAACACTGATACTAATATGTGGTTGGTACAATAAAAGAGATTCAGAGAATACCGGGTTGAGCAGATGAGGGTTCTTGTTCGGGTCTCAGAAGCTCCTTCGGGGAAGACATATTTCAGCTCCTACCTGAGGTTGAAAGCTCACACATAAATGGGAACAGTGTTTGAAGCAAAGGGAACAGCCTTTGCAAAATCTCTGAGGCTAGAAAGACCTTGAAGTGGGAGATCAGAGGGAGAAAAGGTGAGGCTGAGATCTTATTATGGATGGGGAGGTAGCTGAGGGCCAGCCTGAAGGCCTTGATGGCTATGGCAGCCTGGCTTTTACCCTGAGATCGGTAAGTCTCTGCAACTTAAGGATAGATACGACCAGGTACAGAGCGGAGTTTGAGGCTAGGCTGGCCTGCTGGGGAGCTTTCAGGCAACTGGGAGCCGGAGTTGAAACTTCTGGGTCCTGTCTGAGCTTTGACCACTGAGTCTCTGACAATTGTCATTCCTGGCACATCATGGGCGCAGGACCCCTTCTGACGAAGACAGTCTGTGCTTGCCCTGGGCCCTGGCTCTTGTGTCTCCTTTGGTCTCTGGGGTGTCTGGAGAAGGACGCTGCCTCTTTCCCAGATTAATAGTGGCTTCTGTCACCAGAGACTAGGCAGTACGGGATAACTCCTCGTGTAATGCTCCAGAGTGACAGCAGGTGGCGACCGCACCTCTAGAGGGGCAGAAGGAGCACTGGCCAAGGTAGACAGGCTGGTCTGAAAGGCAACAATAATTCCAGGGAACCCATCCACGCATCGAGGTTCCTCTCTACCTCTGAGACATGGACAGCCACCCCCATTTCCAAGGTGTAGCAAGGATCCAGAGAAGGGAATTGACGTGCCCAAGGACACAGAGCAAGGCTGAAGCTTGGTCGGCCCTTGGTCTGCTGTCTAGAGAGGGGCTCAGGAGGCTAGGGGTGGGAGCCCGGTGGGTCTGACACTGACCCTGGTGCCTGCCAGTTTCTCTTAAGCAAAATATTTTCAGCAGAAACCTAGACCCAAACCTTTCTCTTTCAGAGCCATAAACCAAGTTATCAGTGAGATCTTTATGAGGCCTTCATCAGGGCACCCCACCCCGGGAGGCCCTGGTGTGAGAGCGGCCTGGAGTGAGAGCTTCCAGAGGGAAGAGGGAAGAAGGAGGGGCCCAATAAACAGCCACACCCAGAGATAAGGGGGCTTCCCAAAGGAAGAGGCTGGTTTAGGATAGGCAGGGACCATGCACAGTGGTCTTGCCATCTGCTACTACCCGTCCCGGTGGGCACATGGGAGGCGGGGGTTCAGGGTCTCGAGGTCAGATGGCAGGTCAGAGGTCAGAGGTGGAGGTATGAGCGCTACAGTTTCCAATCGGGGCTTTTAAATAAGGTTATGATATCTTTAGTTATGGAACTGGGGGGAGCCACATCCATGATGCTAAAACCTCTGATTGACGAGGGGGGTCCACCAGGGGTGAGGGTGAGGAAAGCCTAGAAGCTCTTTTGCATGAAGAAGCCTGAGGAGGAAGAGGAACCAGCAATTTGTTTAAGCAAAATCCAGCTATCAGGTCGTGGGGTGGGTGGGGATGTAGACACACATTCGGGGTCACTCTCTGTGCTTACCAGTCAACCATCTCTACAGAGGAGGGGAAAACTGCCAAATAGGTCATTGACTTGCTGTGTGACCCCAGGAAGGTGACTTTACCTCTCTGAATCCATATGTTAATCTGAAAGAGAAAGCAAGGGTAACAGTCACCTCCATTTCCCTGGAAGGTGGTGAGGATGGGTGGAAGTGATGTGTGGTGTGAGACCTCCCTCTTAGCACCTGCTCAGTGCGTAGAAATGTCACTGTCACAAACCAGCCTGCCGCTTCAGAGAGAGGCAGCGAATACTCAGAATACTCAGGAAAGAAGGTGCACCCCAGGAGTGCCTGCAGAGTGAGGACATCCACCCCGGGTTCCCTGACTGACTGCTCTTCCCTGCCATTGTCCCCTGCTACACTGACCTATCCCTAAGCCACTACCAAATCCTGGCTATGCCTCAGCCACTCAGGATCCCTCTCCAGGTACGAGGGGTCGCGTGGGGCTCTCAGACGGTCCCCTTCTCCCCACTCAAGACTGGGTTATCAGTACTAGGGAAATATTCCTGGAACCCTCAGGGCCTCTGTTTGTACTTGGAGGACATTACCCTCCCCCACTCACCAGGCCCTCCCCCACATATCCTTCTTCAAGAGTTCTCTAGCCTTCTGTTCCTGCCCAGAAACAAGATGTAACATCCCCTTCCCTGTAAACATTTAACACGCCTGGTCCCCAGCACTGAAGGCCCTCTGAGCACAGTGTCAGTACAGGTATGTAGGTCAGTCTGTACCTGTCAAATGAATGAATATGGAAACCAATGAATTTCTAATTTCAAATGCAAAGCCTCTCCACTAGGTGTGAACTAGAATACTCGGGGTTAGAGGCCCTCACCAGAATGAGATTTCTCGCTGGAGGTGTCCAGCAATCCCTTGCACACTTCCCCTTGGTGGCAAACTCACTCTCTGCAACCCCTACTTCATGCTAACCTATCGTGAGCACTTCCTTCTGGACAGGTAGGTCAGGCTCCACACCTGCAGTTTTCCCGCCCTCAGGTCCCCGCCCTCCCTGCCAGGCCTTCACTTCCCACAACAGAAGCAGCCCTGGTTGTCCCAGCTGAGAGCAAAATTCCCCCCTCCCAGGCTTCATCTTCCAGGCCCCCCCCCCCCCCCCGTGTATCTCTTGGTTGGGCTCTCAGCGGAGCTCAGAATGTCAGATGTCTTCCAACGTGGGGAAGTGGTGGCCTCCCCTGCTGAGACGGCTGTGAGCTCCACTGTGTCATACACTCAGCCGTGGTTAAGAAGCATGAACAGAGTTTTCCCTCTCTTCCCTGGGCCTCCCTGCTTCCATCCATTCAATGGGCAGTTTCCCCGGAGCAGGAAGAGAACCGCTAGGCTTACCGCTATGTGTAAGTGTGATTCTCATCAGGGATGCCTGCTCCGGCCAGTCGTCTGTACAGTCACACAGGGTTCAGCTTCAAAGGACCGCATGCTTGGCTGAATCCCACCACCTTGAAATGCCAGGTCAGTTTTGAACAACAGACCTGCCATGTTCATTTTGCACCGGGTCCTCCCTGCAAGTTGCAGTGTGACCTTGACTCACCAGCCTGCCCTGAAGGGATGCTGCCTGGTCCTGTGAAGAGAAAGAAAGCATTAACAGCTAAGACCTGGTTCTGCCTTCCTTTGAGGGCTCACGCATCCTGCACATCTCATGGCGCTAGAACAGGAGAGAAGATCAACTCTCAGAGGACTCTTTTGCACTGTTCCCTCCCTGGCCCCGAGCGCCATGCGGAGGGGTATCTACACTAGCCTTCCTGACCCAGAGACATCTTTTCAGAATCCTTCCCCAATTCCTCGGCCATGCCCCCCCCCTCAACTACCAGTCTCAACGATCCCCTTTCCCATTCAAGCAGCTGTGGGTTGTCTGCCTGTTTTCAATGGAGTTGGAGAGAACACACACGGACATTTAAAATGCCAGCGGGGCCCCACCCGTAGCCAATGAGGATCGGTCAGGTCAACTGTAAAAACACTCTTTTTCCCAATCAGTTGGAGTGCGTTGGCTACAAACTGCATTAGACGATAAACACTCAGGAATTTGTCCATGTATTTTAGAGAATCAGGCAGACACGTGTGGGGGTAAAATGACATGAAGCCTGAAATTTGTTTTAAAATGCTTTAGGAAAAAGGCAGTCGATGGCGGGGGGGGGGGATGACAGAAACCTTATAATTACGGAAGCTGCACGGCGGGTTCATGACAAAACTCTGTTTTCATGTATATTTGAAGCATCTCAACCAAAAACGATAGTAAGGAAAGGTAAGGAGCCAGGGAGAGCTTGTGAAGTTTCCCAAGGTGTCCCCAGAAATAGCCCACACCTTTGAGAAATCTCTCTGTGGAGCCACCAAGGGAAACACACTCAGTAGCACGCAGACAGGCTATCTGCATATGCACATTCTCCACAGCTTTCATCTGGGACCCGAGAGGTCGTGACCCCTGCCCCCCCAGACGCCCTCTACCTTACAGACGGAACCCCGTTTGAAGTCAGTCTTGCTCTCCCCCCCCCCACCTCAAGCTGGTGGTCACTGCTGACAGCGCCACAGGCTCCTTGTGCTGTGTGAGGTTGGCCTAGGGTCCTCCCTCACGCCCCTCGGAGCCAGCTTCTCCACCTGTAACCCAGGGTCGGTGATGGGGAGGTCGCCAGGACCACCGAAGGAGGAGTAGGAACCTGAAGCGAAGCCTGGACCCTCACCCAGGCCGCGCCCTCTGGGTCCCCAGCCCCCAGGCCCATCCACCTCCTGCTTAGGGCGGCAATTTGTCTCCTTTTGAACCCCTTCGCCCGACGGGCTTCCCCCTTTGATTCGCGGCCCCGAGGCTTCCCCCCGCTTTGAAATGCAAAGCCGCCCGGCTGGGGCCGCGGACGGCCCGCGGCTATAAAAGGCCGGGGTGGGGCGGGCGCGGCGGCGGCCGCGGGTCCAGGTGAGCAGTCGCTGGTCGTCGGGGCGGCCGGCCGGCGAGGCGGCTCCAGGGCCCAGCATGCGCGGGGGACCCTGCGGTCACCATGTACGTGGGCTATGTGCTGGACAAGGACTCCCCCGTGTATTCAGGCCCCGCCAGGCCATCCAGCCTCGGTCTGGGCCCTCCGGCCTACGCGCCACCCGGCCCGGCGCCCGCACCCCCGCAGTACCCCGACTTCGCGGGTTACACGCACGTGGAGCCCGCGCCTGCGCCCCCTCCGACCTGGGCCGCGCCCTTCCCTGTGCCCAAGGACGACTGGGCAGCTGCCTATGGCCCGGGTCCCGCGGCCCCCGCCGCCAGCCCGGCCCCGCTGGGCTTTGGGCCCCCTCCGGACTTTAGCCCGGTGCCAGCGCCTCCCGGGCCTGGTCCTGGCCTCCTGGCGCAGTCCCTCGGCGGCCCGGGCGCACCGTCCTCGCCAGGAGCGCAGAGACGGACGCCCTACGAATGGATGCGGCGCAGCGTGGCGACCGCAGGCAGCGGTGGCAGCGGTAAGGACCCTTCTCCCGCCCTGGGCTTTCTGACGGGCTCCTGGCCCTGGCAGGTGCCCAGGCTGCCCTCTCTTTGACCTCTGTCCTGGCCTTGACTGGCTTCTCAAAAGAGTGTGGCCCACTACCACCTCTGCCCTGGAGAGTCATTTTGTTTCGCCCTTTCTTATCTAGGGGCTTTGCGAGCTTTGAGCAACACAACTGAATTCTTCTGTATAGATGGGGAGACTGCTACCCCGTGAAGAGAGGACATGGGTGTGTGTGAGTGGCAAGGTCGGAATTAGAAGGCCAGACGCCAAATCCCGCAGCAGCATTGGCAATGGTGATCTTTCTTTCATAGGTAGCTTCTTCCACTCCTAAACCCGCCACACGCACACCCAAGCACCTATCAGCTGTGGGAACGTGCACGGGTCACCTCTGCAGGACCAACTGGCTCCCTACCATACAGTGAAGAGATAGGAGCCTATCCTTTGGTTGACAAAGCCCCCATTGGTTGCATTGGTACAGGGGTCCCTACCTAGCCTCCCCAGGACTCTCCCTGAACTCTTGACCCCGGGGGAGGGGCAGTAGGAGCAGTTGGGAAGGTGGCTGCTGTTTGGCTCCTTAGCCTGTGAAGCTCCTGCCCCCAGGCAGGCCTCTCTGATCCACCCTCTTCAAAGGCAGGGGACGGGGCTGGACAAAGGTTCAGCTTAATGACGGACAGCCTGACCTTTCTAGGTGCCCCCCTTTGTCATGTAACCGGCTTTGCTTTAGCTCAGTAGTGACTCCTGTTGGCAGGAAAGTATACAGGATACCTCATTGTCCAGATTGTGTTTGGCCTGTCCTGACAAAGGCCACCTGGCCTTGAGGGCGGGAAGCTGGCCTGCCTCCTCTTTGATGTTCAGCCCCTCCTTCCCTTCCCCCAGCTGGGAGCCGGCCCGGAACTTCCTCCACCTCCTCCCCATTCCCTCCATTTTTCCCACACACCCATCGACTCCTCTGGGCAGCTGCGGGGAGGGTTTGATCCGTAGCAGCTCCTTAGCAGTCCAAGGGTCACAGAAGCTCCTGTCTGACTTCAGGGATGTTTGAGAGGCAAGGCTGGACCACTCACTTCTGGGCCTTGACTAATAATAGCAGTGGACATCTTGGAAGTCTTCCATGAGATACTGCTGTGGGTGCTGTCCCTTCCTATTTGGAAGATGAACACACTACGGTACAATGATGGTCAACACTGGTCCAAGGCCCCAGCTGGGGACCAAACACCCTACCTGTGCCCTAATCCTCTGTCCAACCGATTCCCTGGATGGCTCACCTTTTCTTGGTCTCGTTTTATGGCCAATTAACACGGGACAGGGGAAAGTTACATGGCGACTTCTACCCTGCTTCAAGCTGCAAAAAAAGAGTCTTGAAAAAGCTGATGGAGAAGACGATGGTTTCTCCTTTGGTAGATGATGTGGGCTCTGTGTGTGTGTGTGTGTGTGTGTGTGTGTAGGCCCTCTGAAGTCTTGTCCGTGAAAAGCATGGGGAAGAGCTTCTCACTGAGTGACAGGGGAGGACGAATAGAGGCCTCGTCCCCCAGCACCCTGTGGTCCGCTACGGAAGTCTAGGAAGGCAGGCACAATTTCTAATCTTCCACTAGCCACTTTCTGTGGGTCAGGTGGCTCTGGAGAAGGATGGGGAGGTTCCCCTCGGGTAGAGCCTTGGAGAAAGGCCATCGTTGTGCAGCAGTGTGAGCAGGAAGGAGTGGGCATGTAGGGCAAGAAAGGAGTGTGGTCTTCCAACTTGGGTGAGATCTGAGGTCCCACCAACCTCATTTACCGGTGGGCATGAACTCCAAGCCCAGTTCTACTCCCAGGCACCCGTCACTTATACATTGTTCCCTGCATGCAGATAGGGCTGTGACTATCCAGAGGCAAAAGTGTTTTTCTCTTAGCTCTGAGAGTAGAGGGCAGGACTTCAGGCTTGGATCCCAGGAGGCTTGAGGAAGACTTCTGGGGAACCAGACATTTGGCTGAGGATGCAAGAGGCTGGCCTTCTAGTCTGCTCAAGCCATGGGCATCTTTCTCATGCTCCAGTAGGACCGAGTGGAAGCCAGGGGAGGGGGTCTGAGCTCTTCCCCTCCCCCTCTTCTGCCCTGTTTTTACTCCGCGGCACTGAAGGCACAGGTTTCCAGAGAGGACTCTTGTACAGTGCTGTTGTCTAGGACAGCTGAGGGATGTTCACTGTGTGCCCCACCCCCCAGTGCCCAGTGACACTGGTCACACAGTCTTCAGCTTTCCTCCCTTCTCTCTGAGCTCCTCCTCCCTTGAGTCCTCTGAGCTTTGGACAAGAGCAGATACACTGACGAGGAAAGTGAGGTCCTGAGGCTATAAGGAATGTTCTAGATGCAGATGAGTCCATTCAAATTTTTTTGTGTGGTTTCCTATCCTGTTTAGGATGTACAGCTCTCTCCTCTAGGAGACTCTATAACTCCCCGCTCTGGACCTCACCCCAGGCCACTCCCCTTGGCCACTAAGCTCCAGGACCCAGCCCGCTTTGAACTCCTTGGCCCGCCAAGTCTTCTTCAGGTCTTATGTCCAGGTTCTTTTCTCTTCCCTCTGACTCTTTGCCCGCCTGGCTCCTTCTCACCTTCAGTCCATAGCTGAATGAGAGGCCCTTTGTGATTCCCAAATTAGACTCCCCACCTCCACTCCTTTGATGACTTCTACTGGGTGTCTTTTAGAACAGCGACAAATTCCAATTTGTTCTCCTACACGTTGTCTGTTCCCCAAAGCTTCAGGGCCACGTCTGTCTGACCCAAACTGCCTGGGGGCACCAGCTCAGTGCCTGGCATCAATATGTGCTTAAGGCATTTTATTAGATGGATAAACCAGGAAAATGAAGGGGCGGAGACACCTCTGGACACCGGAAGAGGAGAAAGAGCTCAATCTCCACAAGTTTCTAGGGTCCCTCCCTAGGGGTCCATGACGGTCCAGGCAGCATTTCAGGCTAGTGGTTTGAAGCTTGGCTGTCTTCCCCACTGGGTCAGTGCTCCTGACTCTAAGCAATAGGAGTCACCAAGGCCAGATTGTGATTTGATTTGGTTTTATTTTAAGAAAGGGTGCCAGACAGAGGAGCGGGGGCCTGGGGTGGGCTTCAGTTAGGCTGCACTACACGAACAAGTGTTAGCTGTCACTTCTGAGGCCAGGGTGCAGATAATTGCAAGGGGTTCCATTGTTCGTCTGGCCACATGTGTTTAAAATATGAGTCTTGGCCCATGCCTTTAATCCCAGCACTCGGGTGGCAGAGACAGGCGGATCTCTGTGAGTTCAAAGCCAGTCTGGTCTACAAGAGCTAGTTCTAGGACAGGCACCAAAACAACACAGAGAATTCCTGTCTTGAAAAACAAAAGACAAAACAAAACAAAAAATTATGAGCCTTTCTGTCAGGAGGTTATAATTGTCCTGCGCCAGAGGCCCTGTCTGATCCCTCGTGGCTGAACACTGATTCAGTCTGCCCAGATGATGGGGTTATTGTAACGGGTTTGCATCCTGTCTAACTCCTCAGCTCCAGATGTGGAAAATGAGGCACACGAAAGGATGAACACAACCCCTCACGCCGTCCCTTACTCCATAGCCACAGCCATTAACCTGGACTCTCGCCTCTGACCTTTCATGACCTCCACCCATCTTCTAAAGCACTGCCAGACCTCCCTTATTAGGGCAGGCGCATGACTGCCCCTGGACCCCCATTTCTGGGTGCCCTGATTCTGAGGCATCTAGAGTCCTGCAGAAAACTGATCCCACTCAGTGTTGACACTCTCCTGGAAGTTTGCTTGGAGCCCAGGGACTTAGAACGTGAAGCTTGGGAGACTTACCTCTGGGGTTGCGTTGTATGTAGCTAGAGGCTCATTAGCTTGGATCATTTCTTTTTCCTTCCTTCTCCTTCCTTCCTTCCTTCCTTCCTTCCTTCCTTCCTTCCTTCCTTCCTTCCTTCCTTTTGAATTTTATTTATTAGCATGGGGAGTTGCATGCTCACACCCCGTGTGGATTCCAGAAGACAGCTGAGTAGTCAGCCGTCTCTTTCCCCCTTCCTGTAGGCTCTAGGACTCAAACTTGAGTTGTCAGACTTGAGTAGCAGGTGCTTTTTACCTCTGAGCTATTCTACCGGCCCCTAGCTTGGATAATTTCTGGAAGCCACAGTGTTTGTAAAGCACAGCCCAGCATCGGGCGGGTCACTGGGTGCTCAGTGCCACTTCTTGGCAGGTTGTACAGCAGGCCTAAACCTCACACTTCCTGCCTCTACATCCTGGGCCCTTTTCCTGTCCTGCCCTCTCTACTGCATCTTTACCATTTCAAATGCTGTGCCTTCTCCAAGGCCACCTCCTCCAGGAAACCTTGTTTCTCCCTACTCCAGTGCAGCACTTGGAGTGACATACAGTGATAGCCTACTCACCGCCTCTTGTTTAGCCATCTCTGTCACTATCCACCTCTGTCAAGTTGCTTATGCCTGCCAGTTGCCATCTGTAATCCCACCAAGGACTAGTACTAATCAACCCTCTCCTGCCCAGGCTGGCACTTAGTAGGAGTTCATCATGTAGTCACTATGCAAAGAGCTCCTCTTGGGTCAATTCACTTAGCTCTTATAACCACCCCAAGAGATGAAAGGGTCTATTATTGGACACGTTTTACAGATAAAATTAAAGAGGCTTAGAGAGGTCATGTGGCCTACCCAAGCTCACACAGCTAGGGTATGGCGGCATATGGTTCTAGCCAGGATCCACAGCCTGCCGAGGGTCTGTCAAGTAAAGCAACAATCTCCAGCTCACGATCTCTCCTCTGCTGCATGCCTCCCAGCCAGTGCCCACCCAGGTGAGGAGAAAGAGGCCAGCCAGGAGGAACTGGGTGAGGTAGGTGGGAAGGAGAGGGAGAGAGAGAAGGAAGACTATGTCTTTAAAGCTGGCTTTCCTTGCAGCAGAAGCCGCACCTGACACCTCGGCTCTCAGATGTAGCTGGGAATGACCTAGTTAGAAAGTGGCAGGAGAT